GCCTAAACTTCCTTACAGACTCCTTACAACTCAAAATATCTTCAAACTAATGAAATATAAAGTTCTTAGTGAAGAAAACCCGTCTGGATAACAGCAGACTGACTGCTGGTAAAATATACGACAGGTCTGGACCACTCCTGAATTTTGTTCGTATCTGAAAAAAATCTTAGAATATGAAAACATTGGTGAATGTCACAAATTCTCCTAAATCACTCGTACGCACAAGTTAAGAACAAATCTGTGCATACCAACGGTTCTTGCATGAGGCCCAATCTGAGCTATTCAAATTCAGTTCCTGTTGGCACAAGATTTATTCCGTACATTTGTAGCCAGAACTCCAACAGCAGGTGCACCTGAGGATGACTGTAACTCTGAAGGTTTTTCTCCCACACACGTGTAGTTTCAGGGCTAAAAGGTCAAAGACAGATGAGACAGAGTTCTGTATGGAGGAACTGAAAGACGTTCTCTGAACTTCAGTGGTCTGGAGGTGTGGAAAACATGGCCGACAGAGAAGCACAGAGCTGAACGTCTTCCTGTAAAAAGCAGCACATCTGTGCCGGCCTCRTCATGTGAGGAGAACACATTCAGCATCCTGTCAGGGATGTGCAGCAATGTGCCGACGCTGCAGAGTTTCAGCTCGTCGGCCCGGTGGGACGCGCGTGTCGTCGCAGCGGGGCGTCCGCTTAGAGAAGAACAGAAGGACGGCGGAACGTGGAGTCGAATCAGCTCGTGTCGGCGGTGACGGCCGGCTGACAGCGAACTCTGAGCGGGCAGAACAACGCAGAGCTGGTTTCAGAGAAACCATCACTGCTGAGCTCAACATTTAATCCAGCTGGAGGCTGGGGGGTCCTGCAGTTTGCTCACAGTTAGAAATTTGTCTTATTTAATAGTGTGAGTGCTGAGTTTGCAATATTACTCAACATCATGCCTAAATGCATTTAGAAGGTTTGACCAAACGGCTTTAACTCGATCATTTCTAAATGAATGCTTCAAAGCAGAGACCAACTCATTTTCATCCAATCAGTGAGTAAAACTCTCCTACTTTTACTTTTAATAGTATTTCTGTTTTATTTATTTCACATTCAGTCAGTCGTACTGTAGTACCGGTACTAAGAGGATGTGTTAAAACTCTGTTTCTATGCAGGAAATACCAGGTAGAGCTCAGTTAGTAGCTGCGTTTCTGTTGACCATGAAAATGCGCAAATTGGAATTTCGAAAATAAATTTGCTCAATGGAAACACGTCAGTTTCGAAAAAAAACTGTTTTTCGACAAAATGTTTTTGCACTAGGATGAGGTGGTTTTTCGGCCGCATCGAAATTGGTGTTTTTCGCAAAACTGTAATGGAAACACTTTTTTCACATCACAGGAGTCACGTGATCAACAACCGGCTGTTTCTACTGGTGAAAAAGACGATGATGAAGAAGATAACAGGAAGTAGAAGTAGTAGTAATATCACAGAAGTAGTATAAAATAGTAAACTCACCTGAAGAAATTTATAGTTATTAGAGGTTAGTACTGATGTTAAAAGCACAACAC